AATGCCACAACGCTATGAACTTTGGGTAATTCCCTCAGGCAAAGTCTTAAGAATTGCGGACTTACGGAAAGTCTGCATAAAGGGCTCAAAATGTCCGCTAGAGCGCCGTCATGCCCTCGGTGGTTTGACAGTAGGACAGCCCTCACGAACTTGCCGGGAACGCGCCTCCAAGTCTGAGAGTCTGTGAGGTTGGACATCGGGATTGGGAGAGTATTCACTTAGTGAGCTTCCGTCCTTTCAGTCAATCAAATGTTAGCATGCCTAAATCGGTTGTCTTGGAGACATAGCCTCTTACATCGGAATGGTCTAATATGACTTCGCTCCAAACATAGTGCGAACAGATTCACTTAAATATCGGTAGGGACGTGTCCCTGTCAATATTATAATGTAATATTAAAAGATAGATCCATATACACTACCGGTCAAAAGTTTTAGAACACCCTAATTTTTCCAGTTATTTATTGCAATTCAAGTCGTGCAAGTCCAATGAAAAGCTTGAAATGGTACAAAGGTAAGTACTGAACAGCCAGAGGTTAAAAAAAAAGGTTTGGTTACCCAAAACTGAAAAATAATGTACATTTCAGAATTATACAAAAAGGCCTTTTTCAGGGAACACGAAGTGGGTTAACAATTCTGCAGCAATGAAGGTTGAATCAGCCTTGAAAGCTGGTGCTACTAATTCCTACAGATGTTCCAACTTTTCTTGACTACATACAACCCCCTCTGTCTGCATAAAAGCAGTGTTGGAACACACTGTGGTACCAGACCCTCATGAGCATCAGGTGAACAGTATTGTACTGCAGAAAGTAGTGTGTTGCTACAAAAATGGCGAGAAAAAGGCAATTAACAATGGAAGAGAGACAGACCATCATAACACTTAAAAATGTAGGTCTTTCCTACATGGAAATTGCAAAGAAAGTCAAGGTGTCAGTGAGTACAGTTTTCTTCACCATCAAAAGGCACTCAGAAACTGGGGGAAACTCTGACAGGAAGTGGTCTGGCAGACCCAAAGCCACAACTGAATCAGAGAACAAGTTTCTGAGAGTTAACAGCTTGCGTGAAGGCGGCTCACAGGACAACAGATTCAAGCACAGCTTAATAGTGGTCGTAGTAAGCAAGTCTCAGTTTCAACTGTGAAGAGAAGACTTCGAGCTGCAGGTTTGACAGGACGAGTTGCAGCAAGAAAGCCATTGCTAAGATGTCAGAATAAGACAAAGAGGCTCTCCTGGGCCACGAAACGCTGCCATTGGACTACTGAAGACTGGAAGAAGGTATTATGGACTGATGAATCAAAATTTCAAATCTTCGGTTCATCACGCAGGATGTTTGTACGCCGTCGAGTAGGCGAGAGGATGGTTCCACAGTGTGTGACATCAACTGTCAAACATGGAGGAGGATGTGTGATGGTCTGGGGCTGTTTTGCTGGATCCAGGGTCGGTGACTTGTACAGAGTGAGCGGCACCCTGAACTAATACGGCTACCACAGCATTCTGCAGCGCCATGCAATACCCTCTGGTATGCGCCTAGTTGGTCAGAGGTTCATCCTACAGCAAGATAATGACCCAAAACACAAGTCCAAGCTATGCCAAAACTACCTCAGGAAAAAAGGACAAGATGGTAAGCTTGAAAACATGGAGTGGCCAGCACAGTCTCCAGACTTAAACCCCATCGAGCTGGTTTGGGATGAACTGGACAGAAGAGTGAAAGCCAAGCAACCTACAAGTGCCACACATTTATGGGAACTTCTGAAACAGACTTGGGGAGAACTTTCTGAAGAATATTTGATTTCTATTGTAGAAAGAATGCCACGAGTGTGTTCAGCTGTTATATCTGCCAAAGGTGGCTACTTGATGAGTCAAAAGTTTAGAATACATTTTGGTCTATAAATTGATTATTTTTTCAACTCAAATTGCTTATTTGTTCTATTCTTTCATTTCAGAGTGCAATGACACAATGAACTGAATAATTTTCAGTAAAAAACTGGAAAAAGTGTGGTGTTCTAAAACTTTTGACCGGTAGTGTATGTCAATAACTGCTGTAATAATTCCTCCTGTCCATGCTGGCAGTGGTCCAAGGTCCATGGAAGCACAAACAAGAAATTTCAATCCTAAAACATGTCTTACATGTCTAAAACTTACAAATAACCAGTTAATCTGACTAATTATCTATCTACAATTTTTATGCAGAAAGGTATCTCATCTAATACATTGAAGTTGCAATGAAAACATGCAAATTTCTTACAGATCTGAGGTCTGATGTTCATGTCATTTATGCAAAAGACAGTAATCCTCTCATGGAACCAAGTTCTGCATTTGTAACAATGAAACAATGTAACATTTGTGCATTTTTGTTTTTCTGAGTAAGTGTGCATATAGGCTCACGCATACCTCTTTTTTACACTTTCCCTGAAAAAAAAATCCCATAATGCATTAGTCATGTGTATAGTAGGACCTGACTGTCTTGTACTGTACTCTTCTACATCTGTGACCTCCTGACAAACATTTTTTTCTAATCAGGCCACCCAGTACATTTTTAGACATCCATCTACTGTCAATTGCTGTACACTCTGAGGTGAACTTCTGAGCAGCTGCTTTATTAAATGAGGTTTGACAGTTTGGAGGCTGCGTGTTCGTATCAGTCTGAATAGAGAATAAGTGCAGACGAACTGCATATACATTTTCTGATGCAAACCAATTATCTCAGTCAATTTGTAGTGGGAACCCACTGTTATAAGAAAAAAATAGCATTTGTTAGGGTAATAAAATAACAAGGCAAATGAGAATATATTCCAGTATAATCATATTTGCTGTGTTTATTTTATTTTTTTTAAATTCACACACGCATAACGACTTCACAGTTTCATTACACGCACAATGGAAAATATATAGGCACATTAGGGCATGCAGATGCATTACCTCTTTTGACACATTAAGTTCAAAATAAGAGGACAGGCTTTTCAAATTGCTGTCACACCTAAGTCAAATTATGTCTGTGGTGTGATTCTTGTAAAGCCTCACAATGAACCAGATGCAGCAGCAGAAGTGGTCGAAAATGCCACATCAGAACACCCACAGAGTCTTTCCATTGGTGCACAGCAGGTAGCCAGCACATACAGCGTAATAGGCCGATGTAAAAATATGATGAGTATATTGCTATGCTAGCTGCTGAGACTGTAGAGGTTGAATGTGAATGTTACCAAGCTAACATTCACACAGTGATAATGCGAATATGTTGATAATCAGCAGGTATAATGTTTACTATATTCACCATGTTAGTTTAGCATATTAGCATGCTCACATTTGGTAAGTATAACTGATGCTGATGCTAATGGGAATGTCATTAGTTTTAGTTTTTGGTCATAAAAAAGTAATCAGAATCTGATACCGAGTCTGGTTCATTGCCAAGTAGGTTTTCAACATACAAGGAATTTGCTTTGGTGTTTTGGTTCATAACAATAAACATAGTGAGAAAAGAAATATAAGCAAAGATGAAACAAACAAGTTTGACCTGATGATGGCTCTTCATTAAAAAATTGAGGGATCATCAGAGTTCTTACAGTTCATCCTGTGGGGAACATTAATGTCTGTACCAAACATCATGGCATATCTACTATTTTCTATGTGGGATAATTACTTTAAGATTTCATGGTTCTTTCTTAAGAGATAAAAGTAAATACATGAACCCTCTTTATCTCAGAGCTTTCTCCAGCAGACTCACTCAGTAATAATTATTAGGAAATTACTGGACTGATGCTGTGAACAATGTAACACACGTTTCTTTAGACTGGTTTTTCACAGTAATATGTTCATGCAGTATTGTATACAGACGGGTGACAAAATTAAAGGAAAAACATGAAAAATTAGTGGAGAAACAGGATGACAATACCCCCATCCACAGGCCACTGAGGGGTCACTGAGTGGTTTGATGAGAATGAAAATGATGTGAATCATATGCTATGGCCCTCACAGTCACCAGATCTCAACCTAGTTTAACACTTATGGGAGGTGTTAGACAGCGCGCTCTGCCACCATCATCAAAACAATAAATGAGGGAATATCTTTTGGAAGAATGGTGTTCATCTTTCCAGTAGAATCCAACACTTGTAGAATCAGTGACAAGGAGCACTGAAGCTGTTCTGGTGGATCATGGTGTCTGAACACCTTACTCTCTTTGTGTTGGTTTTTCCTTTTTTCATGCATCTGTCTTCTCTGATGGTTGACACAATGGATGTGGTGTGTAACCTTCTCTGGCAGAATGAAAGGATGCCTCAACACGAAACGCTAGATTCAAATGAGTGAAACAGGAAGCTTTGTGTATCTGCTTCCTGGCAACATAATTATGGCAAAGATATTCAAATGTTGATATCAAACCAAAGATCTTGCACTCAAAGATCAAAAAAATAAACAGGACAAAGAAAGCACTGGTACACTGAGGTGGTTACTTACAGCATCACAAGCATCATTTTCTGGATGATTTGAAAAAATAAAAGTGCTTGTCGGACAAAGATTGAGACAGAAAAGAGGGACATCTTTCTGTCCTTCAAGCTTTTGTCAGTAACACAGAGCACCAACATTAGGTCCAGGTGGCAGGCCTTCCTCTCTTTATTTCCTATAGTGGGCTCCAAAAGTCTGAGACACTGCACTTTCCCAGAATGGGAAGAAACTACGTCTCAACTCATTAACTCAACTCATTAATTCATTCAACTCATCACTTCAGTCCAGGAAGCCTCCAGTTAGAACAATGTCTGTTGATGAGTCCTGAACTGGTCTCAAAATCAAAAATACACAAAGTAACTGGAAATGAACAAAGCATATTCACATGAAGTTAATTGGAGTTCACCATGTGATGTTTTACAGCGCACCTATGGAGTGAGACCACTCCTACATTGAAAAGGGAGGAGGGGGGAGGGAGCGAGAGGCAACTAGCTCATTATCAAGCAGTTTCTGAGTCTATACCGTGACTGCGGAGTGACTCCCCAACACCTTCACAGGTATTCCTCCTCCTCCTGCTCCTCCTCCTCCACCACCGCCACCGCCAAGCGAGTTTGACTGTGTTAACTGAGGAGTGATGGCTGCGTTTGACGGGCGCTTCACTTCCTGTCATCTGAAGGAAGAGTAAAGTAGAAGCAGAGGAGAGGACCAGTGTGGGACAGACGAGGACTCCGTGACGATCGGAGACTGTTGCTCCGTCTGTGTTGGATTCACACCAAGATCTTTTATTTTGCCGGTGAGTGCTGGAGTGATCAGTGGAGTTGTGGCGTGCTCTTCCCTCCCTCGCAACCCCCTCTCTGTGTGTTTCTAATCTATTTATAAAAATGGTGACTTTTGAAATATGTTAGTGGGGTGATTCACTTTCACACGGCGCTTGTTTTAGATGCAGCTTAGTCAGAAGAGGGAGGCTCAACACTTGTGTTTGTGCTCCAGTACGGGGTCATCTTGGTTTTGGACTGGTACTACAAGAATGACAGCAGCACAACCTGTTTGCTACTTGACAGCGAAAACACCTTCAGTAAATAATGTAACCGCATTTAACTCTTAAACATTTAACAAGGGACCATTCTGACCTGCAGCCATTACACGACCACAAACTTAGCCTACAAGAAAATAACAACTGTCTGACGAAACGTGTATTAAAAAAAAGATTAAAGATCAGTAGCAGTAGTTCAGACTGATGAACAACATCCCATTCTGGGAATAGCTGCTATCCGTTAAGCACAGTCACATTGTTGGCAGATGACACCAGGCACCTGTAACATAAGCCCTGTCTCTATGGACGTCATGATCAGACGATTATCTTTGTTGTCTATTGTGATTTTCCTACTGAGCAAACAAGATAGTCTGGTCTCATATGATGCTCAGCTATCATATGTATGTCAGGAAATTAGCGATTTGATCCTGCAAGATCACTACAATTTCATTTTCATACTGTCATGTGTTTCATATGATGAATATTTGATGAATTATGATGAATTATTCCCATTCAAGTGAATGGTACATTATGTGCCTGAACAGCTGGGCACACAAAAAACGGTTCTCATTGAGCTACAGTGGTAGCTGTTAGATAGTGTTGGTTTTATTTCTGACTCCACTCCAACACAATAGAGATGAATGGAACTTTTGGTACAGATATAAAAAAACAAATAAATCACTATCTAGCAGGTGTGATCACGTATCTCAGTACTGGCCAGTAAGAATAACCCCACCTCGGTCAAATTGCTGACAGGAATAAAAATTTGTAACTGACATGTACTTTATGACAGAGAGACAGGAAATATAGTATGGCGTGCACTACATTACTCAGAATCATTTGTAACTGTAAGTTTTACTGTGATAGAGCTGGAGGCTGATGTGAACCAGAGGTGAGGCAGAGTTTCTCATTATCAGGAAGAGAGAAAAGAAAGCCATTTATGAGCCATTGACCCCATTAGGCGTAGGCCATCCAATGATGTTTAAAAAGCTCTCGGGGTGCGGTGGGAGTCCCAGGCCCCGGGCCCATCATGATCCCCCCTTGGTTTCAGCCCAGGCCCGGGCGGAAGCAGGCTATTCTTGTACAGCATTGTGCTGCAGAGCTATTCTGACGCTGCCCATTGTGTCCGAATGCTTTCCATGACTCTCAGCGATTTCAGTGGGTCTGCACCTTAAACCCCTCCATTATGGACGAGCTTGTATTGCAACATTTGCTGTGTAGGCTTTTGCATTCAGTACCCCCACCTCCCTCCATCACCCCACTCACTGACTCACTTTTGATTTTCCAGCGAACGTTACTACTCTTGCACAGAAACACTGAATGCATGTTGCTGCAGTCACTTTCAAACCACAACAAAAGACTTGCCATTTTCACCATGGTTTCAATTGTGCTGCCATTTTGAAGCACAGTTATATGATCTGAGCACATGCTTTTTCTTTCTGAGAAATATAAGTGCAGCCCTAGTTTACTGTGAGGAACTTGTTCAACTGAATGAATAAATTGTCTGTATTTTTCAGTGACATCCTGATGAGTAGCTTAAGTTGACAGCGGGATGATCTGTTTATGACCATTAAAAAATACTGCACATGAGACCACACATTATAAAAGAATAATACGTGCTTGTACAATTATAGCCCAACATGACAGAAGAGGACAACGCCTACATTTGTCACACTTAAGTTACACATAAGGAAGTAGTGACCAAACAGATACTGAAAACACATGGTATGGTAGAGATCTGACTTCCTGCAGTTAAAAGAAGAAAAAACATTAGTCACTCTTGTATGATTTGTCAAGCTCTGGCACGTTGGTAAATGTGCTCTCTCTTCTCAGATCTCTCAGACAACAGCGTCATGGATGAACGATGAATCTCCACCTGCCGGCTGACCGTGTGAGTGATTATGCTGCAATGGAGGATGTTTCCCAGCGGACCCAGTGACTCCCACCGCCGCCTATGCCTCCTGCTGAATGTGGAAATCCTAGGATGGAAGACCCACCACGTGCTGCTCTGAGGCACTGGAACAACACGCTGAACCTCCACATCCTCAGTCATCTTGTCTCCTCCACACACACTGCCACAACCGGCTGCTTCACCACCATCGCCCACCAGAGAGGGACCACTGCCACGGGGTGACAAGATTCCAGGATGTTTTTGAAATTCCGCCGAGTACGAAGATGCCAGTGTGTGCAGCTGATGACCACCTGCCTGGTTTTGTCAGTGGTGATGGTTTGCTGGGAACAGTTGGACAATAATGTCGTCAGCCACGTCAAGTCCTACTCCTACCGCTACCTGGTCAACCGCTTCATCTACATCAACAAGAGCCTCACCATCCCACGCGAGCAGGCGAGAAGCTTCAGCAACTTCCACTACCTGCTGGACCACCCGGATAAATGTGCCAAACAGGACGTCCTCCTCCTCCTATTTGTTAAGACGTCCCCAGAGAACATTGAAAGGCGAAACGCCATCAGATCCACCTGGGGTAATGAGACTTACATCCACAGCAGCCTGGGCGTGACAGTCAAAGTGGTGTTCGCCTTAGGAGCGCCTCAGACCAAGAAGGAGGAGCCGTCGTGGAGTAAGAGGAGCGGGGTGGGCTTCCAGGAGCATCTCATCCACGAGGACCGTCTCTATGGTGATTTGATCCAACAAGACTTCTTAGACTCCTTCCACAACCTGACCCTGAAGCTGATCCTACAGTTCCACTGGATGCACAGCCGCTGCGCACACGCCCGCTTTCTCATGACCGCTGATGACGACATCTTCGTCCACATGCCCAACCTGGTGAGCTACCTGCAGGACATGAGCAGCAGGGGCGTCACACACTTCTGGGTTGGTCGAGTGCACAGAGGGGCGCCGCCCATCCGGAGCAAAGACAGCAAGTACTACGTGCCCTTTGAGATGTACCAGTGGTTGTCGTACCCCGACTACACAGCTGGGGCCGGGTACGTCGTCTCCAGCGACGTAGCGGACAAAGTCTATCAAGCCACGCTGACCCTGAACGCCTCTCTTTACATAGATGATGTGTTCATGGGCATCTGCGCCAACGCCATTGGTGTAACCCCACATGAGCACGTCTATTTCTCAGGGGAGGGCAAAGCACCCTACCACCTGTGTATCTATGACCAGATGATGACCTCACATGGTCACGTGGAGGATATCTATGACCTCTGGAAGGCGGCGACGGACCCGCAGGTGAAACAGTGGACCTCTGGACTCATGGGCAGGCTCTACTGTACGGCTGTGAAGATGACTCTGCTTTGTAAACCTTACTATTTCAACACATACCCCTGCAAAGCAGCCTTTTTGTAGTATTATTCAGGTTTGAGTGTGTGTCAGTGTGTGACAGAGAGAGAAAGTGTATGTCATACTGTGATCATAATGAAATGAGGATCATTGCTGCGAATATTACCTCAGTCCTTTTAACTGGACACCCATGTCTGTCAAAAGACTGGAGAATGTGTTCTGTGTTGCAAGAGGCAAAGAGATCACATGAAGTATCTCTGTTACTGTTAGCATGACATCACAAAGACAAAAAGGTAAAGAAGTCTGGGTTTCTAAATGATGGCACGAAAAAATAGACAACACATTTGGGTGATGTTAGTCAATGTGTTTAAAAAAAAAAAAAAAAAAAAAAAAAAACAGGCCAGTGTTTGATCTAAAAATGTCTCTGTGTCATGATGTGCAAGATTCCTCAGTGAAGTAGGGTAGACGTGCAACTGCAAAGACTTAACAAACATCTCCTGTGCAGTAATGATGAGCAACAAAGTGTGGGCTCGAAATTGAGAATTTTGTTACAAGATTTTTTTTTTGTGATTACATTTGAGAAGAATGTTTTTTAATGAAATAAAATCTACACTTTGTTGTTAGTTTTCAAATATTTTCAAAGTACTTTATTATAACTAGTAGTAGTAGTAGTAGTAATAGCGATAGTGATCAATCATGTCAGTTTGTTGGCCAGGGAACATGAGCTCAGGAAACATCTATAGTATTAGGATATACTGGAAAAGTTGAAGGTTTCACTGACAGCTTATTACGTATTATGACCCAGATATATAAGGCACTTTTGTCACTGAAGTTAATTCTATCAACAGTTTTAGAAAATAGTCAAACATGCAGGCAACAAAATGATGTGAAAAACATCAAGTTCTCCCACAGTTGTGTTGATTTGTGCTTGGACGGCACATTTCCATTCTGTTTCTAAGAGTACATGTCTTTATGGATTACACGTGACAGCCGTTGTCCTAGTGGTATTTGTGCTCAGTAGAGTGGGAAAGATTATTTTTCCCCCTTCCCTTTCTGTAAAGAGTTTGTTCCCACGTACCAAAGGAGCATTACCCACAGAAACAAGCAGAGAAGAGGCCTGAAAGTTCTGTAAAGATTTCCCTTAAAGGAAAAGTTTAAATTAAGGGGAAATTGTGTATTTTCTTGCTGAGGATCAATACCAGTCTGACTATCATAAAAAGCTTTTCCAAAATGTCATTAAATTTCTAAAAGGTCAAGATCAATCTACTATTTTTGTGTAAAAGTTGTAATTAAAAGTGTTTGTTGAAGTTAAATAGAGCATCACATGACCAATATGTATTTTTAAAAAACCTATCATAGATATGTAGTGCTCACTGAGAGCTATAAAACACCTGCTAAAACAGATATTGTTGGTCTTTAACCACACTCAGTTCTGGCGGGAAGCCTTTTAACACTCTGCAGCAGTGAGTGAAAGTCACTTGTGGGACATGCATAGAGACCAATGTTCTGAAACTGTTTGGTTTTAACACACCAGTTAATACGGAAATCAACTTTGCACATCCTTCCCATAGCAACAGATTCCTGAGCAGCAGAGCCGCTGTAGCTGCTACACAAGGCTCATTAGAGTGGAAGTGCAAACATCTTGCCTGAAAGCACCCCACAGTTTACTACCCAAACACCTATTTATAAATGCATATTTATAAGTGCAAGAATGGACTTATGATTGAGCATGCATAAAGCTCACTATGGTTTGGTTTTAGGTGCTCTCCATCTGACATGTGATATGCGGAGCCAAAAATAACCCCCGGCATCGGCCAAAAAGTCATCAGTGTCCTAAGAGTGTCTGATCCACAGAGGCATCTGACACACTGCTAACAGTGATGGCTGAGGCTGGCCCTGTGTCACTGTTCAACAGACATGAGATCAATGCCGTAAACCTTCACAAACAAAATTGATGGTAATTTTTCAGTTGTACGACTGATTAAAACAGAGCCAGGAGAAATCCCCTGTCCTGACTTATCAATTCAGAGCTACAGTAAAATAGACGTTTTGATTTTCACAGTCACACATCACTGAAGGTGTGTGATTATGTAGTTATTTATCCGTTGTATTATTCTCAGTAAAAACATTTTTTGGAATTACTTCTTGTGTTTATCTGCAGTGTTCATGCCCTACAGCGTGTTGTACATCCTCTGCTGCAGGTGTAGCCAGGTTCCCTCATTGAGAACATTGAATGTTTCACCAAATCTCATCTCACTGAATACCCGCCTTGTAATATTAAAAGATGGGAATGGGTGCATGAGTAAACACATCAGTGTTTGCCTGTTTAAGGTCATGAAAATCTCCACTCGCTTTGAATTGTCTATATGTTTATTTACTGCACCTCACCCTCAAATGTGATGTTGCCCGGATTAGCTGTTCTCCAAACAGCTGCTCTGTTTCCATGGCAACACATAAAGAAGAATAATTCACACAAAGGATTTAGACAGACCTAAAATCACAACCAGATGCCTACATCTGGTAGATACTGCAGAAAGTGAGTGGATTTTGAAACTGCCTGTGGGCTGATTTTAAGATATTCATTCAAATACGATGAATATGCAGTTATATCAATTTAAATGAGAAACTCTGCTGATATCGTGTAAAATATTTGAACTGTTTAGCCTAATTTCCCTTGAAGACAGAAACCGGTCTGTTATTTTTAGATTTACTCAAGCGATGGTGACTGAATCAGCCCATGAGGATTCAGTCGCTGACTTAAGTCATCAGGAGCTCGTCAATGAAGCTCATCTTTAGTCACTTCCCATGAGGTGGTTTGGCAAAATAATTGAGTTGACAAAGTTGGTGTGCTAAATATCATTCCAGACTGTCCTGGTCAATGTACAAGTTAGGCCCCACGGGCAAGCGATAACTATAGCTTATTTAAAAATACCTACCTTGGAATTATAATCGGCTCATCTCTTCAGAACCTGGTAAAAGGTGACCTTAGGTCGGCTATAACAAGCGTCACACAAGATTGACACATGGGGAAATTTGTCTGGTTTGAGAGAATAAGGCAAGTTTATTTATATGGCACATTTCATACATACTTTACAAAAAAATAAAATAGATAAAAAAAGAACAGAGCATAGGAAAAAGATTAAGTATAAATGCGTAGAAGGTATAAAAGCAATAGAATACATACAAAGTCATTGTGTGTTTATGAGTCGGACTTTAATCTTTAGCAGCAACTGAAAACAGAGGTGAATGTTAAAGTATTTAGCCTGTTTTTAAAAGCAGCCAGAGTTGGGGCACATCTATGGTCTGGAAATTTATTCCAGCTATGTGTAGCATGATTAGTGAATGCAGCTTCACCTTGTGTGAAGCAGCGGGAACATTATACCAACTCTACTGATGAGCTAGGAGGGTTCATACTGTGGAAGCAAGTCAGAGATATACTTAGGCCTTAATGAACCATTAAGTGATTTGTAGACAAGTAAATAGTATTTTGAAGTTAATTGCTTTAGACACTGGTAGCCAGTGCAGAGATGATGCTGAGAACCGGTTCAATATGTTCAGCAGCTGCAGTCTGAATGAGTTGTAGCTGCCTCAGTGCTTTTTTGAGATTTTTTAGTCTAACCTGCTGGAAATTAAAGCATGGATTAGTTTTTCTAGATTTTGTTTAGACATGTGTCCTCTAATTCTTGCTACATTTTTAAAAAGATAATAGGCCAATTTTGTAATAGTCTTGATGTGGAAGTTGAAATTTAAATCAGTCAATTATAACACCAAGATTTCTGACTTGATTTTTTGGCTTCAAAAAAGAGAAAGAAGATGTGCAACAGTTTATGCACAATACGGCCTAGTGAAAGCATACAGACGTTAAATAGGAGAGGTCCCAGAATTGAAACTTGAGGTACTCCACATGTCAAGCTAGCTTGGTCATGAAGTTGCCAATAGAAGCAAAATAGTCCCTGTTTTGCAGATATGACCTGAACCAATCGAAGTGTCTAGTAGTATTGAACAGTGTCAAAAGCAGCACCAAGATCCAGTAACACGAGGACTGAAATTTTGCCTGAATCAGGGTTCATGCATACGTCATTTAGGGCCTTAATCAGAACAGTTTCAGTGCTGTGATGGGGTCAATAATCTAATTTGAATTTGTCTAAAAGACCATTTACAGTTAAATGTGTTAAGTTGTTGGGAGACACCCTTTTCAGCTAATTTACTTATGAAATGTAGATTTGATATAGGTTTATATTTGCTAATTAGAGAGGCATCCAGGCTACCCTTTTTTAGTAGCTGTTAAATTTTGGAAATGCCTGATAGGAGGGAGCTGTTAACTATGTGCAGTAAGTCTGTTGCCAAGCAGCTAGAAACATTACTTTGTTGGGAGGGTGTCAAGGCAACATGTTGATAAAGATGTTGTACAGCTCCTCTAAAGTGTAGTCAATGGCATTTAAAATTTCCTGATTCAAATATGAAGCTTGAAAATAGAAATAGGTTCCAGTGACTTAAAGGAATAGTTTGACATTTTGGAAATATACTTGCTGTCTGTTAGATTAGAAGATTGATATCACACTCAACTCTGTATGCCAAAAAGTAAAACCATAGCCGGAAGACAGTTTTCTTAGATTGGAAAGGGGAACTATGATTCTGCCCTAATCTACACTTAAACTTTATCTTGTTAATGTCAAACAAACAAGTGGCTTGTTTCACAATCATCTAAAATTCACAGAAAATAGGAGAAAGAGGTTGAACTGGTTTACATATCGGAGAGCATATCAGATTTCCTTCCATCATGTCAGGACTTGTGGTGTTTGGACACTGTTTGTACCAGCTGGCTAAATATTATGAGAACAATGAAGAATACATCAAATGGCAAACTGAAAAAGAACATTGTATAGAAGATACAGGAATCAGTTGTACAGAAAACATTCACTATTCTTACCTGCAAAACTGATTATGACACAATTTAAAACACTACACAAGCAACATTATTCACTTTTATTGAGAGGTCAGTTGGGCCCTTAATGTATTAAATGTAAGGGATTATTACATATGCCCAAGGATACAGACATTTTGAAGAAAAGTGACAGCTGACATTTTTATTTTAAGTGGAAAGCAGTGGTTCTTTATAGTGTATGTATGTCTCTATGGTGCAGGCACAAACCAGCAGACAAGCATTCAGAGTACAAATACAGTTTTATGTTTTCCAGTACAGAAGCTCTTTACCCACATGAATGTCACAGACCTGAAGGTTAAACCTCTAATTGAGACACTATGACATTTCCAAGTCAATGATTTATCAGTTTATAGCTTAAAATACTTAAAATGTGCTGCATGAGGACATGACTGTTTAACCACATACCACTTTACAATCTCACCGCCATCAGGGTGAGGTGAAACAATATTACAGCAATGCATCCTGATCATTTTGCAAAAAAATGATAAACATCTTGCTTCTACAGCTTCATCCTTCAGACACTTACTGGTAGTGTAACTGGAAAGTATCATAACTTAAGTTTCTTAGATGTTAGTCGCAACAAAAAATATTTTGGGAGTGCCTTAAAAATGTCATGTCATAATAGGGTCATGAGATGTATTCAAATTCAGTTTTTGTTTTTAATTTGCTATCCCCCTGTCATCTGTGTTAAATATTTCATAGGACAGATTGTACTGATTGCTTGTTAGGTAATCCACCTCCTCAGCACCAACAAGATAATAATCAAATTCAACCAATTTTGATTACTGTAGCAAAAAATGAATCCACTCATAAGCTGAAGGCAGATGAGGTCTGAGTATATTTTGCCAAGGCTGATAATAATGAAGTAAATAATGGTGTGCTGAAACCTGCAGGGTAAAGAGGATCGACTTTTTCTAGATCATGACTGGAAAGTGTTGCTGAGGTTAAATATAAAAAATGTGCCCTGCCAAAAGGCCTGCATGACCTCTCTCCCTAAGCACATCTAAGGGCAGCTGTAGCATAAGCTATATTCTACTGTCTGTATCAGACTTCTGTGCAGTACGCAAGGTTCTGTTTGACGTTTAGCTTTTCAATTGAGCTAAAGTTGCCTCTTGTCACATTAGTGGTTAATTAATATTTTATACATGTATATATTGTTATTCAAAGTTTTTTAGTGTAAGGTTAAAACAATTAAGCATGCACTCTTACATGCTCATTTTAAGTTAATTCATTAAACAAATTAAAAATCAGATATTAAGCTTGATGCCTGAAGAAAGCAACTCCCTTTCACTCAACACAGCATTTCCCGTG